GTTAAAATGTTTAGGCCATCTGCATCGAATCGATGTAAAGAATAACGCCTTTCATGGATTGATATAGTTAATATCAATAGTCGCTTAAGAAACGTGTCCGACATCAAGTAAGATTAATTAAATGGCAGTTCGAAAATCTAAAAGTGTAACACTCTGCTATTAAGTTGACGTGTTTTTTAAGCGAACATATGAATAATTGCAATATATGTAAATGCAATGAGGGAAAACCAAAAACCCCCTCGCAACACAGTTCCAAAGCTGAAGCGAGTAGCTTCCGGGATCGCTTCTTGGTAGTGGTTCTCCAATGTATAAGAGCCCCTTCTCATGAAGCTCTCCTGTAGTCAATCCGCCATATTGAAAAAATAGCTAAACGCTCTTATGAAATGCAGCTTTTGTAGTTGCAGCCCAAGGAATCCTCGATAGTGGATACTCTTTGCAATAATGTAAATAACAGCCGTTGTAATGGGAATAGAAAAAATAGTAGCCCAATTTTTAACTAAACCCTAGGCGGAATAAGACTATACCAGTAATTGGAAGCACTTTTGCCGCAAATTCGTTCTTATGTATAAATATGGCACCATTTTGATTTTTTGGACGAACGCATAACCACCACACAAACGGAAAGCACAATATCGCAATTCGTAAACACTACTAACTGAGTAGAGATTTAGAGAGGCAAGTTTGTGCTACTTATTTTTTCAATATGACCAGATATCAGTAATATCCGCTTATCAAAAAAATAAAGGAAGGCAAATTTCCATTTTCACAAAGAAATTGTGGAGAAAAAGCGAAAGTGCTAATGCACTAATACAGCCACCACTTATTCCTCGTAAAAGTGGTGTACGTTGCATAAAGATGCCGCATAAAACATATCAATACCAAACAAAAGAAATTTGATTATTTTTATTTAACAGAAACCCTACCGATATAAATATAGTCTATGTAGTTTTCTAAATTTGACGTCTTTTTTTATCCTTGAGGATATTAGAAAACGGTTTTCACATTCTCAGTCTACCTATTTAACAAAATTCGTTTGCACTTGTCCATTTTAACTATCACAAAAAATATTCCAATTCCCCTTTTTAGCTACATTCCTAAGCGGGATACGAAAACTAATGGGCGGAAATGGCAATTTATTTTTAAAAAAAAGTGCCACTGTTGTACTCATATCAAGTCAAGTTAGCGAGACATCACGAAATAGCTGTTTATGTAACAAGTGGCAAATTGACTGTCTTTGGCGCATGCGCGAATTGGACAAACACGTCGTGTGCGCCAAAGACAAAATTTGCAACGTGTTGCATACAAGGTTTTTTGTAATTTCGTCAAGAAATTGTAAAATGTGAATTATTATAATGGGAAAAGAACGTTTTTTAAGATTGAATACCCATGTATTATCGCGAATTCACTAATGCGTTGCTATTGATAAGCAAACTGTCATCTTTGTTTGAAGCATCCTCGTATCGCGTCTTTTATGTTTCAATCGCATTTGGGAACTTTTTGCTGGCAAAATGAACGATTCCGATGAAAATGTGAGTATTTCATCCGACGTTGAAGCGGCTGCAGAAGAAGCTAGTTCGTATTTACTTCCTCCGAACTCATGTCCAGCATACGAGACAGCATATGCACGCTTTGAGGTGTGAGTTACGCGGCGAAAATTGAGTAGCATTAGCGAGAAGGTACCTATTAACTAGCGTATTTTCGTTAATTGTTTTCATATAATCGATTGCGTTGAATTGTAAGTTAAAGAAAAAATAACATGTTAGTAGTTCAGGCAATGATTGAGAGTCGTGTAGGTAGTTTGGGATTAATGTACCAGTGCGCCAATCTAAAATTGGCGCAATAGTGCGCGAATGTGTCAAAATGTGACACTTGTGGCTAAATGCCGGCTGTTTTAAAACTGAAAACGCCAACTAAATTTAAGTATTTGATAACGGAGTTACAAAAATGAATATTTGTATCAAAACATGGGCGTAATTGTTCGTGTTCCTGGTAATACGATAAGGGTTGATATAAAAAAATTCTCAACTTTTAAAAAATGTCGACTATTTATTTTTTCCGTTTGAAAATACCTTTGATGGAGTACCGCAAACTTCACATCAATTGTACAATTATTATTTTTTGAAAAGATAACAATGTATTTAAAATTGGTATATTTTATATTTTTAATCATTGTAACAGAATTTTAAATGTTAGCTACCATTTTTATAAAAAAAAATACATTTTTGTTGTTGTTCACCCTTATATACAGAGTGGGCCATTAGTGTGTGGGTGGAAAATTGTGAGTGTATTAAGGTGCGTTCTTAAAATGATTGTGGGGGAATGTTGAAGGACTCTTCAGGCTATAACCTAAAAAATTTTCAACGAAATTGCAATTGTTATACAGGGTGCTTTATATCAAAGTTGCATATTTTTAAATGGAACCCTCTGTATATTATTACATATTTGGATTCCTTGGTCAATTTTAGTGTGACTATGTATTACACATGATATCTAAAATTTTAGCCGCAATTCGTCGTTTTTTCAAAAAGTAGATGTCCAGTAAACATTGAATATAGCAGTTATCATAAAACTTAGAAGGCATTGACTTTGCAGTGGTAGGTACTAATCATGAAATGTACCAACATACGTCGAACGACTAAAGTTAAACTTCTTTTGTGTTAAGAGGAATAACTCCGTCAATTTTCAAAATTTCAATGAAAGGTAACTTGATTTGTTAAATGGAACTACCATGTTTTTTATCGCATCAAATGTAGGATTGTATTACCTTTTTAACAATATAAGCATGTAGATATTTATTTTCTACATATTTTTGTAATTCAACAATTTCTAATAATTCACAGTGCTCTTCGATTTCCAAAGCCTCTCAGTAATTAATAGGCCATTATAAATTATAAACAATTGAATTGATAAAAAATTTACTCCAAATAAAATAAAACAAAAACTTGCTCTCTGATAGTGGCCCTCCAATGTATACGACGAAATTGTGTAAATCTGGTACAGACCGGGAAATAAGTCACAACAGGTAAACACCATGATACTATGGTCTTATCATTGATAAAACTTGTCAAACAACTAGCGCCCTACACTCTCCTCCTCTCATTATACGAAACCTTAGCTACTAACAGAAATTGGTTATTTTGGATCATAACTGGTCCACTATTTGTAACGGATCTGACACAATCATAAGACTCAATAACGTGCATATGAAGTCGCGGGGGAAAATGTAGTTTTTTTAAAATTACTAATGATGCAAGAGATTGAAAATCTGATTGCACCTTGATCTTGGAAGTATTTCGCAAGAGATTTTTTTAATGTTTTTGATAATATCCAAATGGGGCACACCTAGTATAAGAACGTCAGATGGAAATTATGAATTTATTCGAAACGCAGAGTTGTTGTGCAACATAAGATAAACAAGGAGGCAATAGCATAATTTCCATACTGTCTATATGAATGCGTTGGCATTATTTTGAATCCCACTGGAAAATGTTGATCTTCTCCAATACTAAAAGCCCATATAAGTTGGAATTGACGCATACACAAAATCTAACAAAAAATGCACAATACGTTGGAGATTTGGCAATGGATGTCTTCCACTTTACATGCTTTTCAGCTAGTTTCTTGAAGTTTGCGTTTTTAATTATATTAGTAGGTACACTAAAAACGTTAAACTTTTGGTGGCAATTATACGGAGTGCACTATAAAAATCAAAACAACAACTTTTCATTTTTCATAAACCCTACGCACTACCACGTTAACTTTTAACGAAGTTGGTAATTAAAAAGCAACATAGTTCCCATAAAACTAAATAACTAATGAAACGTAAGACATATTCACGTTTTAAAAAATACCACATAGCATGAATAATAGATAAAACAATTAATAATTTACATATCACCGAAGTGTTAGGCAAACAATTTTGGGAGTTCCTGTAAAAGAAAGAAAAAGTTTTTAAAGTTTCGAAAGACACATTTTATAATTGACTTTATATTAATAATTAATTATTTTGTCACAATATACAATATCAATTCCTGTTAATATTTCATCGGTATTACTTGCGCCATAAAACGCGTAGACTTAGTCATTGGCTTGAGAACTAAGGCAGTGGTCACAATCTTAAATTAAAAATGGTGGATAAAGGTTGTGGAGAAAGCAAGTACTTTGGAAGGTTGCTGAAGTATGCGAAAGTGTCGGGGCTTGCGTTAACCATGCAATTAACAAGAAGCGAAAGGATTATTTTATATGTCTATCCGTTCATACTGTCTTTATACTGTATCGCGGTTGTTTTTAGAAAGTGGAACTTTACCGAAGAAATCGACAGTATCGTATACACTCTTGTTCTAGTAAATGGTAAACAAATTTCTTGAAGTGTATAATGAAATAAGTTTTACTACTTACAGCACTACCTCGTGTTATAATAATGAGAGTGCAAAGATCTAGATTGGCGATGCTCATAATGCTATTGGACAATTTAAAGGTTTCCAATACAAAACACGCAAATGAAATTAACACAAAGCTTAAGAGAATTGAAAGGACCGTGGTATGTTGCGTTATTTGTCGTATGTCTATGAATGTATTTCGTGTTTAAGATTCGTACGATGCTGGCTGCCACAGTGAGTGCAATTTTCATTACGACAATTCAGTGGTTACTGGCAAAGAGCAGCAAACCCCCTTTCGGTATAATGCCTAAATGGTTGACGGATTACAGTGCAAATGGTTCTGCAACCTTGCAAATCATTTTGTACACGTTTATGGCATTAGAATACACCATCGTTGATGGAATTAAGATATCTATCTTAATACACTTATGTATTCATTTCAAATACCTAAGCATCCGTGTCAAAAACGTTTTAAGAAACGCAAACGGAAAGTTTTATCAAGATCATCACCTTAGACATGGAGAAGTCGACAACGCACACGTACCTTGGAAATATCTTCAGGCGGAGATAAAAACTGTGTCTTTGGAGCATAGCTATCTAACTACCGTTCACAATGAAACCGAACTGGTTTTTAATAAATCTGTGCTAGCTAGTTTTATTAATTTATCGCTCTTTTTTGGTTTTGTATTGCTACAAATGTCTATCGTAAGTTTACGCTACGTTTACAAATGATCATTTTAAAGCTAATTTTGTACAGATTCCATTACTGAGCGCGGAATTTTTGAAACTCATGTTGTACATTCAACTGAGTTTGGCCTTATTCTTTGGAGACGCATATCTTTCAACCATTGTTCAAGCAGAGTGCCTCGGAGTCAGTCATTCGTGTAGCGAAATCCATTTTGTTGGCACAAACCTAAAATTTCAAAAAGCCTTAGTGATGCTAATGGCTAAGACACAGAAGCCAGTAACGTTCACAATTGGGCGTTTTGCACCGTTGTCTATTAACTCCGTTTTTACAGTATAAAAAAATCGCATTCTTATTGCTATATTTTAATGTAATTTTTCAGGTAATCAAAGCCGCGTTTTCTTATTTTATGCTTGTGCAAAGTTTTAAAAAAGAAGAGCAAGGTAACTAGTAATCTAGAGGATCGTGTGCTGCTCAATGGTATACAACTATCCCTTCGTTGATAATCTCTCACCTGTCACTTCAATAGGCTATAGAGATAGACAAAACCTTCACTCGGCACATAAGTTATACCATTGAATTTATCTAGCGTCATACTAGACCTGACGACATGCAAATATACTCTGTTTGTCTTTATTGTCAATATTAAAATAAAAGTAAATTAACTTACATTGTGTCTATAGTAGCGATCCATAGGTCTGACATTTGTGACAATCCTGGGACCAATTAATATTGACCAAAACCATATTATGTTGTCAATGGAACCTTCCTAACACCAGTCGGAATTATACTTTTAGATCTTGCAAGAGATAATTCTGGACAAATTTTGATTTCCAAAATAAAGGACTAAAATTTAAGTGCGCAAACTCTTCGCTGTAATATACAGGGTCATTCTTGACGAGCGTCAGTTAGAAAGATGCCTATGGAAAACCTTTGAAAATGATACTAAACTGATAAGTCCCTTAAAGGTTTTCGCACATGATAAATTGAACTAAAATATTTTCAAGTTGACGCCACTTCCGCAAATACCGGAGGTAGACATCAACTTTGTTATTTTAAATAGGAACCTCCTATTATTTCTACATTTCCGGATTCTACGCCGAATTGACTTAATTTTTTTATCAATTTGCTACAAAAAATCACTAAAACATGGAAACCGTGTGAAGCAGCCTTTGACATTTTGTTTCAAATTAAAGGTCTCGGAAAAAGGAAAACAACAGTACCTAAAGTAAACATGGGGAGTGCTATTTGAAAAAATGGAGTTACGAAAATTTAAAAAGTTTAAAGTTTAGAGCTTTTTGAGACGGTTTCATATGCCATAAGAAAATTCGATCTTTCCCTAGTAAAACAAGGAAAACTGTTTTGCAATATCTCTTACCGTTTTCGGCTAATAAATGTTTAAAATTACCTCTACAAATTCAATTCAAAATAGGGGGTCACTATTTAAAATATCAAAGTTGATGGCCGGCCGATATTTGCGGATATGGTCTATTCCAACAGCCAGTTAAAGTAAGTGATACAGTTATATACCTAACAAGGTTATAAATCTGCACCTGCCCATTAAATTTAATTAACATTTACACTTTAGTATGGACATTTAATCGAATCGATGTAAAGAAAAACGCCTTCATGGAATCAATAGTCGCTTAAGAAACGTGTCCGACATCAAGTAAGTTTAATTAAATGGCAGTTCGAAAATCTAAAAGTGTAACACTCTTCTATTAAGTTGACGTGTTTTTTTAAGCGAACATATGAATAAATGCAATGAGGGAAAACCAAAAACCCCCTCGCGACACGGTTCCAAAGCTGAAGCGAGTAGCTTCCGGGCTCGCGCCTTGGTAGTGGTTCTCCAATGTGTAAGAGCCCTTTCTCCCGAAGCTCTCCTGTAGTCAATCCGCCATATTGGAAAAATATCTAAACGCTCTTATGAAATGCAGTTTTTGTAGTTGCAGTCCAAGGAATCCTCGATAGTGGATACTCTTTGCAATAATGTAAATAACAGCCGTTGTAATGGGAATAGAAAAAAATATAGCACCAATTTGGAAATCCGACAGTATTTCTTACGGCGGTGCTTAAAGATATTATTTCCATCTATTATGATATGCATGCATGCATTTAAAACAAGTTAAAAAGTAATCGTAAACGATTTACATAAAGCGCATTTCCACTTGCATTCATTTTCCATTTATAAGATGCAACTTCTGTTAAAATCGTAAAAATCCGGCCACAAATATGAAAGATAGCGTTGCACATGGGCAATCCATTTTTGACGTGTTACTTCAATTTCAGTTTATGAGAAGAATTTCATTTCAATGCTTTTCTAAATAAGAAAGTTGGAACTGCGCATGCGCAAACCTAAATTTTAAAACTAATGTTAGATTTTCCTTTGTTCCAAGCGCCTAAGTATCAAATTTCACTTAAATGGTGCCATAGATAAAAAAGTTGGCACTGCGCATGCGCAAAAGAAAATTTTGAGACTGGCGCTCGATGATCCTTTATTCCAAGTGCCTATGTATCACATTTCATTTAAATTCTTCCATAAATAAAAAAGTTGGCACTGCGCATGCGCAAAACCAAATTTTGAAATTGGCGTTTGATTTTCCTTTATCCCAAGTGCCTATGTATCAAATTTCGTTTAAATTCTTCCATAAATAAAAAAGTTGGCACTGCGCATGCGCAAAACCAAATTTTGAAATTGGCGTTTGATTTTCCTTTATCCCAAGTGCCTATGTATCAAATTTCGTTTAAATTCTTCCATAAATAAAAAAGTTGGCACTGCGCATGCGCAAAACTAAATTTTGAAATTGGCGTTTGATTTTCCTTTATCCCAAGTGCCTATGTATCAAATTTCGTGTAAATTCTTCCGCAAATAAAAAAGTTGGCACTGCGCATGCGCAAAACCAAATTTTGAAATTGGCGTTTGATTTTCCTTTATCCCAAGTGCCTATGTATCAAATTTCGTTTAAATTCTTCCATAAATAAAAAAGTTGGCACTGCGCATGCGCAAAACCAAATTTTGAAATTGGCGTTTGATTTTCCTTTATCCCAAGTGCCTATGTATCAAATTTCGTTTAAATTCTTCCATAAATAAAAAAGTTGGCACTGCGCATGCGCAAAACCAAATTTTGAAATTGGCGTTTGATTTTCCTTTATTCCAAGTGCCTATGTATCAAATTTCATTCAAATACTTTTATAAGTAAAAAAGTTTGCAATTCGGTTTATAAATGGTCGAGATGCGAAAAGGGCACTGTGAATTTTGAATCGATTCGATTCAACTTTTGGCATTGCGTATTATATGGCTAAAGCTATGCCCATATTGAATTTCATGCAATTCAGTTCATAACTAACGGAGATGTAAAAGCGATCGAACATTTCTAAACAAAGTTATCGTTCACACGGACAGATAGATGGACAGACAGACAAAGGAACAGACGGAGAGACCAACCGGCAGGCGACAGATAGCAATGCAAAATTATAAACGATCTCTAGGATCGTTAATAAACGGCAAAAGTGTAAAATTATAGAACATGTAAAAAAACGGTTTTTTGTTTTTTTTACAATAACTTTTTTTGTAAGCGGTACAGAAAAAATTCCTTCCTTGGTACAAGACTCGACACCATAACGAACCAAATAGCGAAAAAAGTAGAACAATAGCTCTTAAGATAAAGAACTAGTAGCGTCGCAAAACGAGCGGACGGACGGACGGACGGACGGACAAAGTGGCCACAATAGCGCATTTTTTTTTATTTTTGTGGAAATGCGCTAAAAATGTCTCGTGATCTTCAGAAAAAAATCAAAAAGCTAACGTATGGATAGGCAACTCAAATAGCACTTATAACTCCCGAGGCGAGAACTGATTACGTGAAAGGAAAAACAAAAGAAACTACCTGGCATTATCCTGCATATTGTTACGCCGTTGCTAATGATATAGATTAGATAAATTACTATACAGGGTGGTGACTTGCGTAACGCATCATAGGGATTTCAATGTAAAATTCATAACATGCGATTATTGGCTCCCCAAATTATTTTAGAGCAAAAATGTATTAAGTTTTTTTGTAGAAAATTTTTTTTTACGCCAATCAACCATATTAGTATTCAATTTTTTTCATATAAACACGGAAAATTGGAAAAATAAAACACGCATCTTTTTCAATGATCTGCGATGCCATGGAATTTTCTAAAACAAAAAGATATCCAGTTATCAATTAGCAGCAGATCGAAATGGATTTTATGATCGACTTGGTTACTGCGTTGCAGTTAATGGTGACTTATTCGAACATTTATTGTAAATTGTTATATTAGGAAACCGTTTTTAGTTTTTAGTTTGGTCTTTCTGTATGTTAAATTCGCTGTTCTAAATATAATACTTTTTGATAGAATTTGATTTGTTTTATAGCAGGCATTCCATGGCTTGACGGATATTGGCGTAGTTTTTGTGTTATAAAATTCCATGGCATCACAGATTATTGAAAAAGATAGGGGTTTTATTTTTCCAATTTTCCGTCTTTATTATGAAAAACATTGAAAACTAATACGGTTGATTGACGTAAAAAAATTTTGTCTAGAAAAAACCTTAACACATTTTTGCTCTAAAATAATCTGGGGAGCCAATAATCGCATGTTATGAATTTTAAATTGAAGTCCCTATGATGCGTTACGAAAGTCACCACCCTGTATAATTAGCTAATGTTCATGACTGATGTTGATTTGTAAATCATAATGTCACATATTCCCAAGACGAAAAGTGCACTAAATGGATATCTATTATAGGTTAGGTACATTTGAAATAATTTTTTATTTCTAAAACCTTCCTCATTCAGGATTCAGGATGTTTCAAGAAATTTGTTTAGGAAGGTATCAAATAGTAGCCCAATTTTTAACTAAAACCCTAGGCGGAATACGACTATACCAGTAATTGGAAGCACTTTTGCCGCAAATTCATTTTTATGTAAAAATATGGCACCATTTTGATTTTTTGGACGAACGCATGACCACCACACAAACGGAAAACACAATGGCCCGTATGAATAAAAGTAAGCAAATGCTTATACTTGCAAAATTCAAAGTAAATACTCGTAAGTGCTCCTTCGCACTGGGCGACTTAGCAACACTTCTAAGCAGAAGGACAGGGGCGCAGTGCAGCGCTGCTAAACCATGCTATACAGACCAGTATGAAGGGGCAGTTACGAGTATTTACTTTGAATTTTGCAAGTATAAGCATTTGCTTACTTTTATTCATACGGGCCAATATCGCAATTCGTAATAGTATATTATATACCGCGGGACTGAAGTAGTACTTTTAATCCCGAAGGTAAAGTTTATGGCCCGACCGAAGGGAGGGCCATAATTTACCTGAGGGATTAAGACCACTACTTCAGTCGCAAGGTATATACGATATTTTTCGTACTTCCGAAACTGAAACACTTAATATGTATGGAATTAGAGAACGTGTTCTTTTAAAAAATCGCTGCTTAACAAGTTACCATAGGAACGTTGCGTTGGTACGACAAACCCTATGCTATGGTAACAAAAATAATTTGGAAACTGTCATTGCTAGTGTCATAATTTTGGTAGTGGGTGACAAA